GTGAATTTATATAAAAATTTTGTTTTTAGTTTAATATATTGTAAATCTAATTGATTTGTAATTATCGATACAATGAAACGACTTGAATATTATACAACTTTATTAGCATTTATTGCATTTCATATGAGTATTGTTTGGAGTGAATCGTTGGAAACGTATGTCTCGACCACTCTCTCGCCAAATGATAATGAAGACGAACTTTGGTATTGGAATAAAGAGGAATATCCTAATCCTTACGAACAGCCGCCATATTGTCGTCGGACTAAACCATCGTTCATCTGTGATCCGGATCAGTTGCTCACCAGGAAACAAGGTAAGCATTTTGTTGTATTTGCTATAATTTATTAACTAATTATTGATCAATGAATGAAATACTTATGACACGATGTTTAGCTGTTATTTTATATCAATAATTATGAATTACTCTAACTCTAAATTATGTACTCATTACTTTAATTAATTAACCATGTCTGTAATTTAAATAAATCGATCGATTATTTTCTATTAGCTAAATTTTACACAATAAACCATTGATGTTGCCTAAGCTAATTATATTTTATATAAATTTATACAAAATGTTTTACCATATATTTATTAGAAATTATAATCAAAAATTGAATTATTAATACAATCTGTTTAATTTAAATTGTAAATTATTTGTAAGATTTAAATTAAATTATGAGAATTTGTTGGCACAACAGTATAATCACTATATTCAATTGTTATCTATGTGTACTACCAAAAATACCATGATTTAGCTAATCAGGATTAACAATCAGAATAACTGAATTATGGCTAAAAACTAAGAATTAAAAATCTATTAAAATTTCAATCAATTTGCAATAAATGAACAAAAAGTAGGAATAATTTCCAAATAGATTAATAATTTATGGCTGAATATTATAGCAAACATGATAAGCACAAATTGGTTAGAGAAAAATACCTTATATTAGATGGAAAATACAGAACACAATCAATACAACTAATGCCAGTCTTATCTCATTTTCCAAACAAAATTCATATCGAGTGTTAAGTCGAGACAATGTGTTTACAAAATGTGTTGCTTTCAGGAGATTTTTTTTAATGTTAAAGCAATACATATCACTACATGTTTTAGCCATTAATTACTGTAATTAAGATTTACTACAATCTCTCATATTCATATTCTGTTTAATTAAAAAATTAATATATACAGTATTGCGACATTAAATACTTTTACTGGTTATTTGTTAGCATTACAGTATATAAACCCAAATCTTTGTTTCTTATAAGTTAAAGCAAATATCATATAAAATAGATTTTTAATAATAAAATGAATAACATTATTTGGCTATATTAGTTTATTATATTATGAACTAAAAGTTCAATATTAAATCAAATAAAACATAAATTTAAATGAGTTGTTAGAATTGAATTAACACTATTAGTGTAACACTTCAATTTAATACTTCAATTAATAATTGATTAATTATTTCTGAATAAAGCAAATCGTTTGGACGCCTTGATTAGCGAAGTGAAGAATACTTCGGCCTGTTTTTGCACTTATTGTCCGCCAAATGAAAAGGGATTCACTATAGGAGTGGCACTCATTAGGAATATATTCCGAGAATATAAGTTAGTTCACTATATTTACTAAATGTTGAACATATAAATTAAATTATATACAATTTAAATACAATTAATAAGCACTTAATTAAAGATTTAATAATAATTATATTTAATTTATATAAAGTGTACGTCAATTACAAAACGCTGAGAACTTTGCCGATTATATACGAAAGAAATGGAATTTCGGTATTTGTGATAATAATATCATCATTTTAATCATTACATCCGATAGTCAGGTATTGTATATGTTCTGCAAAACTTTATTTTAAATTAAACTTACATTTTATATAATAATCTTGATTTTAATTATATTCTTGCAAATCAATAGATCGCTCACTCGGAGGGCACGACTGCTATCAAAGTATTTCCAAAGTTTCTATTAGAGGATACCATCAAAAATAACGAGATTTATTTCATTAATGAAAACTATTATCAGGTTAATTACAATAATGTATTACAAATATACTTATAATAAATTATATATTTTATTTACGTATAAAAGGGTTTGGAAAATATAATAATGTCATTAAAAGGTGCGCTGAAGACAAAAATTCATTACTCGGCGACTCTGGAGGAGAATGAAGTCGGAGATGAGGCGCCTGAAGAGGAAGTGGAAGAGGACGGCACTTCGCACACGGGTTTAATTGTGGGACTCATTATTGGATTATTGGTATTCATTGGTCTGATTGTGTTTCTGTTGATATATCTTCGGCGCCGATTCAGCGAAGACGGCGACACATTTCAATTCAAAGGAATGCTAAGCAAAGGCTATTGGCTCAACAGAAACGACAACTTCAGACCCGTTAGTGTGAGTCCAGTGGTGGCCGGAGGAGGCGTTTACGAGCCCTGCAGTATTGAAGAGACCAATCGCGCCGATAACGACTCAGACAAACGGCTCAAACAGAAGTTGAGTGAAATTAGCGATGAGTCGGGCGATGAAGAAGAGATTGAACCGATTGGACACAACGCCCATTCAGATCAACCATTCAGATCACCGGTCAGTACCGTTAACTCTCCCACACAACCAACACATGTGAGTCCGGAGTCGGTTCCCACACCACAAACCAATACGCAAGACATGGTGTGAAACGAGTTTTTTTTCAATAATAATAAAACCATTAATTTCTTAATGGATAAACATTTTTAAAATTAAACAATCTTTTGCTGAGAGATTAAATAAAATACATTTGTAAAACGTGTTTATATAATGTTTATATATTTATGAGAAATTTTTACATTATATGTGAATCCGTGAAAGTAATGTAGAATTTAAAACCCAAACTTATTTAGTATTTTTACATTTTATGTCTTTTTAATAAATTATTGTTCACTTTATGCCATATTTTATGTTCGCTGAAAGCCTTTAAAATAAATATTTGTATAAATAATTGAATAAAGAATTTAAATAAATATGGATTTTTCAAACAAACAAATAAATTAATTTCTATGTATAAAAGTGTCAAATGTATAAATAAATAAATCTTATAAATAAATATTTGAATTAAACAACATTTACAAAATCTTTTAAAAAGTAGCCGAAAATAACTATAAAGTTATTTATAAAAATTAGTTAACATATATCTAATTGATTGTATAAATCAATCACATTATAACATTAGTTGAAAGGAATTCTCTAATTAATAAATTATAATAAATAAATGATATAATTTATAATAAATGGGAACACATTTATAAATGATAGTTAAATTCATATCTAAGATGTGACTTTACGATAGCATTTGATCATGAGATAAATAAGATGATAATTTGGGATTAGTTTTGTTTAACACTATTCGCATCGCTATTATGGTTAACATTTTGGATTAATTGTACCAATGATTGAATCAATTGTTCGTTTCTAGATATGGACCGAAACCCAAATAATGATGAACTTCTCAGGTATATAAAGTCGCCGACATATTTGCTCATAGATGTGAACATATCTCCCATTCCGTGAGCGATACGAATACCAATCGGTTGATTGATGGCAACGGTCGGCGATTTAGTGAGTTGTTTGCCGGCAACGTATCGCTCAAAGGGGTCGTCGTCTTGATTTGCCAAACGGAAACTACCGGCAAATTCAGTCTCTTTCAACACGTTTACTATCCTTTCGGGATGATTAGTGATTATGCCGTCCACTCCCGTCCTATATATTCAATCATATTATGTCACATTATTAATTAAATCACTGCCTTTAGCTTATTTCAAATATATATTTACTTCAATTAGTATGCACTACCCCTAATTTGTTAATTATTTAACCACAATTTTATCTAATAATTATTAAATCGTGATTAAAGTTATTAAAGATATTGAGATGAAGATAACTAATACAACTTTTTAAAAGCTATTTTCCTAAAGTATTATTGACTAATACAGTATTAACAATATTTAATGATTTATTAGTAAATTTGCTAATTGTTATGTCTAACAGTTTAATTAAAAAATTAACTATTTTTTGATTAAATTACATTAATATAATATATTTCATTATTTCTTTCGTCATTAATTATTTATAAACAAGAGAGAGAGAAAGAGAGAGAGAGAGAGAGTATGTGGAAAAGAGTGGGTCGAGTGAAGAACATATGGCAGGGCGACGGACGCACCAACTGTTTGAGTCCTTTCTATAATTTGGGTCGACTTACGTCTGCTATCAAACGAAGGGACGAGAAG